TTGTTGTTGTTGTTGTTGTTGTTGTTGTTGTTGTTGTTGTTGTTGTTGTTGTTGTTGTTGTTGTTGTTGTTGTTGTTGTTGTTGTTGTTGTTGTTGTTGTTGTTGTTGTTGTTGTTGTTGTTGTTGTTGTTGTTGTTGTTGTTGTTGTTGTTGTTGTTGTTGTTGTTGTTGTTGTTGTTGTTGTTGTTGTTGTTGTTGTTGTTGTTGTTGTTGTTGTTGTTGTTGTTGTTGTTGTTGTTGTTGTTGTTGTTGTTGTTGTTGTTGTTGTTGTTGTTGTTGTTGTTGTTGTTGTTGTTGTTGTTGTTGTTGTTGTTGTTGTTGTTGTTGTTGTTGTTGTTGTTGTTGTTGTTGTTGTTGTTGTTGTTGTTGTTGTTGTTGTTGTTGTTGTTGTTGTTGTTGTTGTTGTTGTTGTTGTTGTTGTTGTTGTTGTTGTTGTTGTTGTTGTTGTTGTTGTTGTTGTTGTTGTTGTTGTTGTTGTTGTTGTTGTTGTTGTTGTTGTTGTTGTTGTTGTTGTTGTTGTTGTTGTTGTTGTTGTTGTTGTTGTTGTTGTTGTTGTTGTTGTTGTTGTTGTTGTTGTTGTTGTTGTTGTTGTTGTTGTTGTTGTTGTTGTTGTTGTTGTTGTTGTTGTTGTTGTTGTTGTTGTTGTTGTTGTTGTTGTTGTTGTTGTTGTTGTTGTTGTTGTTGTTGTTGTTGTTGTTGTTGTTGTTGTTGTTGTTGTTGTTGTTGTTGTTGTTGTTGTTGTTGTTGTTGTTGTTGTTGTTGTTGTTGTTGTTGTTGTTGTTGTTGTTGTTGTTGTTGTTGTTGTTGTTGTTGTTGTTGTTGTTGTTGTTGTTGTTGTTGTTGTTGTTGTTGTTGTTGTTGTTGTTGTTGTTGTTGTTGTTGTTGTTGTTGTTGTTGTTGTTGTTGTTGTTGTTGTTGTTGTTGTTGTTGTTGTTGTTGTTGTTGTTGTTGTTGTTGTTGTTGTTGTTGTTGTTGTTGTTGTTGTTGTTGTTGTTGTTGTTGTTGTTGTTGTTGTTGTTGTTGTTGTTGTTGTTGTTGTTGTTGTTGTTGTTGTTGTTGTTGTTGTTGTTGTTGTTGTTGTTGTTGTTGTTGTTGTTGTTGTTGTTGTTGTTGTTGTTGTTGTTGTTGTTGTTGTTGTTGTTGTTGTTGTTGTTGTTGTTGTTGTTGTTGTTGTTGTTGTTGTTGTTGTTGTTGTTGTTGTTGTTGTTGTTGTTGTTGTTGTTGTTGTTGTTGTTGTTGTTGTTGTTGTTGTTGTTGTTGTTGTTGTTGTTGTTGTTGTTGTTGTTGTTGTTGTTGTTGTTGTTGTTGTTGTTGTTGTTGTTGTTGTTGTTGTTGTTGTTGTTGTTGTTGTTGTTGTTGTTGTTGTTGTTGTTGTTGTTGTTGTTGTTGTTGTTGTTGTTGTTGTTGTTGTTGTTGTTGTTGTTGTTGTTGTTGTTGTTGTTGTTGTTGTTGTCGTTGTCGTTGTCGTTGTCGTTGTCGTTGTCGTTGTCGTTGTCGTTGTCGTTGTCGTTGTCGTTGTTGTTGTTGTTGTTGTTGTTGTTGTTGTTGTTGTTGTTGTTGTTGTTGTTGTCGTTGTTGTTGTTGTCGTTGTTGTTGTTGTCGTCGTCGTCGTGGTCGTCGTCGTCGTCGTCGTCGTCGTCGTCGTCGTCGTCGTCGTCGTCGTCGTCGTCGTCGTCGTCGTCGTCGTCGTCGTCGTCGTCGTCGTCGTCGTCGTCGTCGTCGTCGTCGTCGTCGTCGTCGTCGTCGTCGTCGTCGTCGTCGTCGTCGTCGTCGTCGTCGTCGTCGTCGTCGTCGTCGTCGTCGTCGTCGTCGTCGTCGTCGTCGTCGTCGTCGTCGTCGTCGTCGTCGTCGTCGTCGTCGTCGTCGTCGTCGTCGTCGTCGTCGTCGTCGTCGTCGTGGTCGTGGTCGTTGTTGTTGTTGTTGTTGTTGTTGTTGTTGTTGTTGTTGTTGTTGTTGTTGTTGTTGAATTTTATTTAAAGTCGCAACACAAACAGGCGATGGCGCCTCCTTTTTAAAATACATGTGAGCGACATGACAAAGTTATTAACCCTTTACTGTCCGATTAAAATGTATACAAGCCCACGCAACCACAAAATCTGAAACTAAAATTAGACGTAACTTTGGTTTGAAATTGACGATTTCCACGATCTCGGGCATTCTGGAAAGGTCTTGACGAGACGAACGCAATGAGCCCACACTCGGCCCCACAGGATGCACTGGTCCATTAATAACAGGAATGGGGAGGCGAGGAGAAAAATCACAAGTGAAAGAAGTCACCGAAGGTAACTGAATATGTTACAAATAGATCTGCGGGGGAAAGAACCCTGTTGAAAAACCGAAAACACGGAGTGTTAACTGACCGATTTGATGTCGAGAAGTTCATTTCCTAACATCCTTGCAGTACACTAGGTACCAGTAGGATAGGATTTGATGATCAGATAAAATCTACACAAAAATAAAAAGAATTGACCATTGGTGAACAGATAAAAAAGTGATCTACTTTGAATACTTCGACGCTTTCGAGAGAGCAGAGAAATGGGCGTGACAAGGTTCACAGCGCATCATTGGCGGTGTCTTGTTCCAGAGGATGACACCAATGAATTGGATTCTGCCTCTACCAGAAGGACCGGGCCAGAAGGGTAGAGTACCTGCAATAGGTTTTGGTCAGCTCCACGGGTGCGATCACTGTGTTCTGACGTAATAATTCCGAAACAGGACGCTTGAGCGGCCATGGATGCAGCGACGAACGAATATTAGAACTTTCGCTGCCAGGGCGTCCTCGAGGGTAGGAAGACAGAGTCTCTCGAAGAGCCCTGCAGTGGAAGTCCACGGCGGAAAGCCAAAGAAGGCACGGATTGCAGCTTTCGTCATTCGAGTGAGGGCTTCCATGTTTCTGGCCACCAGAGACGGATAGATTGCATTGGACGCGTATGTTAGTCTGGACATGATCATTGCATGATAAAACAGCTTTTTCGAGGAGACTGTCAAGCTTTGACGTGAGCGCCATAGCGCGCCAATGGAGCGTCGAACTTGGCGAATGGTGTGGTCGACGTGACCATCCCAGGAGAGCTCAGTATCAACAATAACTCCAGTGTCACTTCAGTACCTGTTGTCCTCTTTCCCTGATTATTAATTTAGGGCTGTGTTTGGTAGTAAAGAAAACAAACAAACACACACACGCACACACACGCACGCACACGCACACACACACACACACGCACGCACAACCACAGCGAACTCTGTAATAGAGGACAGGTGACTTTTACGCTAATCATAAAGAGTGTTCACAACTAAGCTGAGGCTCATGCGATCTTCGGATAGGTGCCTGTTTCCGCGATACAGCCTTGTACATGTACGTGACATGATTTCTAGGCTGTGAGAGGTTTTCCTTGTGACCAAACGAGCCCACACGACGGTTGCACACACCTGAGGAGAAGCGGGTTCATGTATTTGTTATTGAAGATACTGGCGCAATGACGTGTGTACGACTACCGGTACTCAACTAACTCACACATGCGACAAATCAACACGAGCGGAGCAGTGTAGAATGGAGGTGTTATGAACCTACAATGCATGGCTCACCAAACACAATGAAGGAAGTTGGAATCAAATTATTACTGATACGTGTACATTGAGTCTGAGTCTGCGCAGCAAATCCCCATACTGGTGGTACACATGACATCTTTGACGAGAAACTAGCAAGGTTTCGCCCCGTGCCGGGTACTCTAATTTCAGAAATTTTCGGTGCTCAATATTTTCGGTATGAGGGCAACAGGCCAGGTTAGGTGAACAGAAATTTTCGGTACAGAGAAGCAGTTCCCTATTGGATTATGTGTGTTAGTGTTTTTTCGGTGTATTGAAATTTTAGGTATGAAACGGACACACCGAAAGTACCGAAAATAAAAGTACACCGAAAATTTGTGAAATTACAGTATTCTGTTTGCTGGTTAATAGGCATGGGCAGGGAGTAGTAAAAATATCTGGTTGCGAGACTTGCCCCCTCACCCTTGCCGCTCTGGTGCTGCATCTGCCACGTGCTACCTCAGGCATGGTGGTGGCCTGGCACAAGCAAGGCTTGGTTGCGTATCTCAGCACAGTGGTACAGCTTAGCCCTAGGCGGATACCATGATACTGCAGGCAGAAACATCAGCAGAATTGGGTACTTTTTCTGGTATGTTTCAGGCATGTTTTGGTACGTGGATAAAGAAATGGAGCACACTGTGTTCGGAAACAGTGCCCCTAGCCCTGGGCCTTACGGGCTTACTACAGTACATTGTAGAACCTCCACGGTTGGCAGAGCCCCGGTCTTGCGACCTTTTGACCCGTATGGGTGTTAGGATTCTGGATAAACAAGTGCCGGATTACAGTGGGACGACTGTAATCACAGTGTGGACTGTAGACTATAGAGTATAGTACTACACGCTTGAAAGTGCTACGTCACAGCATAGCAACAATTTCAAAAATTCAAAAACTGGATCCACTTGGATCCAGTTTTTGTATGGATCCAAGCACATTTCAAGCGGTCTTACCCAGAGCATGGTGATGTAGCCAGTGAAACTGACTGATTTGGCTACTGGGGGCGGGGTTACAACTGGTGGCGAAATAAAAGTCACACCTGCATGCGACATGAGTGGGTTGCTATGCACCCACATACTTAGGCAATAGCAAAGTCACACCTTAGTGGATCCAAAAATAGAAATCTGATGTCAACTTACTACTCCCTGGCCGTTTTGACGTCATCACTTTCAAGCCCTAGGCTATAGCTATCCTCCCCGGCCCGGTGAGAATGAATCCCATGACAACCGTTTCCAGGGAGGTATACGGCGTGCACGAAAAACAGCAGGTCGACTCCAGAGACTCGCAGAGTACGAGTTGTTTGCCTGGAACGCATAAAGCAAGAGGTGTGGACACGTGATGTGGATTCGTAACCACGGTGAGACCTGGAGACTGAGAGGCCAAGACAAGCCAAGACTGCAAGAGCCGTGAAACGCAATCAACATTGTTTTCGATCGTACGACCTACTGCACGAAACTCTGCGGACGTGCGATATCCACCCAAACCCTTTTCGCTGATTGTAACTAACGTTCTCTTCAGTTTCAGTCAACCGGTAGCTTTGCTCGAGCCGGTACATGTGCGTGTAGTTTTTGTTTTCTGAAGACATCCAGTACTACTAGTACTGCGCCGGCGAGCTGGAGTTGGGTGAGCCAGCCGGGAGACGTAGGTAGGTAACGTTTGTTTGAAGTCTCCAGTCGGTCCGCCGGACTGGGCGAGCGAGTTGCATAGTTATCAACGACCTGAGCCCCAAGTGGACATCAAAATAACAAGGACTGACGTGTCTTGGTGGAGACAAGAGACAAGAAGAGCGAAAAGCCGCTGCAGAGGTCTTCGTAATCAAACTGGAGATAACCCGGCGAGTGGCGTGGAGTTTGCATGGACATAACGTGCTAGTACTAGTACTAGTAGTAGTACAGTACTCAGTACTAACAAGTAACAGTGGTCGCGGAGTGGAGGACGACAGCGCGGTGCAGCTGGTGGTCGTGCCGCGGGTGAACGAACATTGTGAGCAAGTCAGCATCTGTGACAGACCTCCGCGGACCCCATACTGACCTCCACGCACATTCATTCCAATCGGCAGGCTTCTAATCACCAAGGCAAGCAACTACGCCGGAGCTTGGTCAGTTGGTGTGTGAGGTAAGGTTCTAAAACCGAGTTGATGGGCAGGCAATCTAGAAAAAGAGCACATCGCCTGTTACCAGATTTACTTTGTATTACTTGTGTGTGTATTGCGGCGTTGGAATACGTCTTCCACGCAGTCAGTCTTGACTCTTGGATCATGGAGGTGTGTGCCTCGACCGCTGACTCAGCCTGGTGTGCGTGCGTGGCTACACTACTACAGACACAGCCCGGCTGTGTCTGTAGTAATGACATGTAGACTGCATCTGTTCTGCATACACATGCTCTGTGCAGGGTCTGTGGCTGGCTGTGTGCTCAGAAACGCTGTTGTCGTGTTGCCACAAGTAATTTCTCTATCAGCGAAACGTTGTAACTAGTCTACAGCTCGCTTTGACCACTTGGAGAAGTCCCAGGAAAAGCACAAAAATTTGGCCCAGAAACACAAACAATGTTTGCTTGTATTGCTACCACTGTCAGACTATCATCATCTAGTAGGGGTGGAGTAACTCAGGGTGTCTTGCACTGTAACCAGTTTGTAGTTTGAGTGTAGTCCAGTGAATTTGTGACTGAGCTGAGTGTGCTGGTCGAACAATCGTGGCATGTACTGAGCAGAATTTATCGAGTTGGTCTTCCAAAGGTCTAGGTTATCTTCCAGGCTGTAGTGCTAGTGTAGCACGATGTCTGTGTTTGCATGTGGCTACAGCAGTAGAGCCTCTTCATCTAGGTACAGGGTGAGTGACTGGCACCTGCTTGCTGCTGCAGTTCACAACCGACTTCATAAACCTTGCCTCCCCCATTCCAAGCATGCACACGCCCATACAAACAGACAAGCGCACACACACACATACGCACACACATACGCACACACATACGCACACACACACACCACACACACACACACACACACACACACACACACACACACACACACACACACATACACATACACACACACACACACACACACACACACACACACACACACACACATACGCACACACACACACACACACACACACACACACACACACACACACACACACACACACACACACATACACACACACACACACACACACACACACACACACACACACACACATGAACTATGCACATAATGCTCAAACACACACAAATGCTCACATATGTACACACGCACACACAGAGACGCACACCACCCGTCCTGTCCTGAACATTGTCGTAAGACGGTCACATGTCCCCTCATACGAGGGGCCGATAGACATGGAGTAGGTCGGTTGAATACGGTACGCAGCACGATCCGCAAGCTAGCGGCCAACGACAGTTCTGTTATATTTCGCACAGCTGTGGAGTTGAAAACCCCTCTTCGATCGGCAGCACCTTCCACATGCGCGCGCACACACACACACACACACACACACACACACACACACACACACACACACACACACACACACACACACACACACATACACCTGTACTTGTACTTGCTCACTGCCATGACTGATCAAGCGAGTCCCCCCCCCCCTCTCTCTCCCCACAGATTGGAGCAAGATTGAAAAGGAATCTTGGAAAGAATGCTCAATTGGCAATTGAACCGCCCAATGAATATATGGGCGGATACATCTCTAGCTCCATGCTACATTACACCTGCTTGTTACAGCTACACATTCCTCTAGCAACAGATACGAGTATACATATACAGCTAGCACAGAAGTCCTCACTATACAAAAGGAGCAGTTCAAGAGGATAGACAGTGCAGCGGGGATAGCTGCGGGATAGTGCTTCCACAGAATACAGCGGACACTGCATGAAAGCTGGAACTGGTAACATCTGGTGCGACCATTGCCCTGCCGGCCTTACCAGTGGTGCTGGCCAAATTGCCAATAATGGCCCAATACCTACAAGTTAAAGTCACACAGAAGAAGCTTGACTACCGGTCCCAGTGCTCAATACACGGCGTGCAGAGCTTACTGTCGTGGACATGGAAATCCGGTCGCACGTCGAGCGGCTACAGGGGCGCTGGCCATGCAGCCGTGGATAGCGGAACATGCACTATGCGATGCATCGCGGATCAGCATGACTTTGTGCACTGCACGCAGCGTTCTGTACGAGCTGAGGGCGCCGGCCCCAGTCAATCGACTGGATTTCCATGTCCGCCGCAGTAGTACAAACGAAAATCTGGTGGAACGAAAAGTGATTTTAAAATGTCTCTACTTAAGAGTTTCATGCTGAAAACCAATCATCAGAAGACTGGGGCTATAGTCGGGATTGTGTGGTCTTATTCACTGTAGGTGTTATCCCATGGCAGGTATGCAATCATTGAATGCTAGTGTTTCAGAACAAAGTCATGTTGCCGGTGTTACTGAGGCTGGGCATGGAGCTCTGGTGGTAGAGGTGGCACTAAATCCGTATCTTTGTGCTACACTATCTCTTCTCTTTCCAGGGCTCGATTGCGTACGGTGATCCGAACGACACAAGGCCGACCCTCAGCGGTTGCAGGTACACCGATATGTCCGACACCACTGGAAGCCTGGGAGGCGGTAGTCATGGCACCTCTAGGCCGACCAAGCAGCGGCCAATGAACACACCGGACCGCGTCGGCGTGCAGCGTAGCACCATGAGGGAAAACCCCCTTCTTATCCCGGTTAGTACGTCACTCACATCTGCAGAATATGAGGTTGAATAACTATAGCGGCACCAGACTACTATATCCACTAAGTTATAACGTAACCCATCGTAACCCCATCCCTCTGCAATGACTATGTGTTGGCTTTCTTACTTGCTAGACTGAGTTTATATGATTCTGGACTGATTTGAATCACAATTATCTTCCTTATTGGCCATGGGTCATCGACTCATCGTGGAAATAAAGAATAAGAAAAGAATAAGCGCTCCAGGCCACGGCAATCTGTTGTACAGGTTATATTCAAAATTAATTTTGTCATGGCGGTGAGTTAGCGGATCCGTTTATGAGTCCAACGTATTGAGTAGCAAAAAGGACTCCTGGATGAAAGAACCAACACGGGTGCATTACTGTTCCACCGTGGGTCTGCCGCTCCATACAAAGCATCCCAACCGATGATGTGACCGTGTAACCTCTCTGTGAGTAGACTGCCAGTAAGATCTGTTTCCAGTTTCCCACGCTGTACTAAAAAGTCAGGCTTTTCAACTCGGATGGTGAGCCAATTAAAAAGGAGAAGGAAGCATTTTGCCCTTCTCCTTTTCACCATATTAAATCAGACTTTTGTCTGGATTTTTTTATGCTGGCCGATGCATTTTACAATACGTATATGTTATCGCATGGTTGCAAGGGCCTTATGGCATATTATTGCCCCGAGAGGTTAGCCCGAGGGCCGTAGGCCCGAGGGCTAACCTCGAGGGGCAATAATATGCCATAAGGCCCGCAGCAACCATGCGATAACAAATTTATCACATGGCCCACAGAGCAGACCATTGGGCTGCTGTTGAAATTAGCCCAAATGCCAACACATTATGACCACAATGTATATTGATGTGCTATCATTATCAAAACAGGAAAAATGAAGATATTTCTCCTACACCCTAACAAGAGTCTGCTACAGCAGTACAGGCCATCAGAGAGTATACAGCACTGAAAGACGGAGACAGAAAAAAAGTGCCGGCACCGCATCGTCATAGCAATAGACATCGCAACGACAATAAAATACAGCAGAATCATAATTTCAGTTGAAAAATTAAGAGTGCTACCACAAAGAGTTTCTTCATGTTTACATGTGTATCAGGAAGTTGTCAAATACAGTACTGCAACAAGTGCAAGCATTTGACGACTCCCTGGTGTGCAATTCTGAGGACAATTTTTCTTCTTTTTTTCAGCTCCAGATAGCTGTGTTTTTCATTGCAAAACATTCCTGAATTGTTGTGTTTGTTGTTCAAGCAAAGGTGAAGGCAGAGGACATATGAGCCTGGTAAGAGTTTTGCGTGGCACATGAAGACCACACACAGGCAGTGACTTTGCGAGGATCTGAAAACGCACGACGCTGAGTTGAATTTGTGTTATTTCAAATAATTGTTTGTGATCACAGTACCACTTCGAGCAGAACTGAATCTTATCCACAAGCTTACCGACGGTCAGGCTGCCAACATGACTGAACAAATGATCCCTGCAAGCACCACACGGCAGACGTCCGAGGCCATGTCCATTGCCGGGATGTCCATCTCCAAAAAGAATTCCATCTTCTCAATGCTACACTGCGACTCGTCGTAGAGTCGTAGAGTCTACAGCTACAGTCTTCGTAGTCACGCGATCACTGAAATAAACTATTTTTTTGCGGGCAAATAAACTATTTTTTTGCGGGCAATATCGCATATTATTGCCCGCGGCGCGAAAGGTGCTGATTCGCTGGAGTACGGGCAACAATCACGTGCCATGTGATAATGTTATTTACTGTTCTCCGGTTTTCAGACTAAAGTTGGTGCTGTGAAAAAAGCATCGTATGCCCTGCCGGATCTTCAATTCTCCTATGGCAAGAAGACGATATCAGATGATGGAGGAACAGCCGCTGGTAAGTACTGATATCCCCCCCCCCCCTCCTCCTCCTCCTCCTCCTCCTCCTCCTCCTCCTCCTCCTCCTCCTCCTCCTCCTCCTCCTCCTCCTCCTCCTCTCTCTCTCTCTCTATCTATAGTGAAACCTGGATTAAGCGACCACCCCACGGTGCAAGCAAAAGCAGTCGTTAAAGACAGGTGGTCTTTATAACCAGGTCCCGAAGTGTCTGTGTAGAACTGTAGGTGCATGGGAAAACGGTCGTTAAGAGCAGGGGGTCGCTAAACACAGAGGTCGCTCACACCAGGTTTTACTGTGTCTATCGATCTCTCTCTTTCTCTCGTGCTCCTTCTCTCTCTCTCTCTCTATCTATCTGTCTGCCAAATCCATACATGTCCTCACCTATCTACAGAACATGTGTCTGTCTATCTATGCATGTTTGTATGTGTTTATACTGTGCACTGCAGCCATCGGTCACTGGAACTATGGGAACGCCACACGGAAGAGCATGGAACCGGCGCGAATGCCACGCGACTTCATCAAGCTAAACAAGGCGGCAGCAAATGCAGGTAAGCTTTGCATCTACAGTCAGACCTCGCTTAACCGCACACATCCGTTTTACACACAAATATCCAGATAGGCGAGGGAACCGGATAATCGAACACACGCACTGTATGTATGCATGGCATATGCTGTAAATCGGTAACCAGCGATTTTCTTCCGGATAAAAGAGGACCGGATAAGCGAGGTCTGACTGTGCTGACAGGAACATACTGCAACCAGTTGTTCAAGTGGTTAATGAAACCTAAGGACAAGCCCAGAGGCAGTGCACCTTAGCCTGGTTAAGTACTCAATGCCTGTGACGGATGGGCAGAGCCACGCAGTACACTAGAGCTACGCCAGTCAGGGGTGGATAGAGAGGTCTCTACGGGGGTGGATAGAGAGATCTCTACAGGGGTGGATAGAGAGATCTCTACGGGGGTGGATAGAGAGATCTCTACAGGGGTGGATAGAGAGATCTCTACAGGGGTGGATAGAGAGATCTCTACAGGGATGGATAGAGAGATCTCTACGGGGGTGGATAGAGAGGTCTCTACGGGGGTGGATAGAGAGATCTCTACAGGGGTGGATAGAGAGGTCTCTACGGGGGTGGATAGAGAGATCTCTACAGGGGTGGATAGAGAGATCTCTACAGGGGTGGATAGAGAGATCTCTACAGGGGTGGATAGAGAGATCTCTACAGGGGTGGATAGAGAGATCTCTACAGGGGTGGATAGAGAGATCTCTACAGGGGTGGATAGAGAGATCTCTACAGGGGTGGATAGAGAGATCTCTACAGGGGTGGATAGAGAGATCTCTACAGGGGTGAATAGAGAGATCTCTACAGGGGTGGATAGAGAGATCTCTACAGGGATGGATAGAGAGATCTCTACAGGGGTGGATAGAGAGATCTCTACAGGGGTGGATAGAGAGATCTCTACAGGGGTGGATAGAGAGATCTCTACAGGGGTGGATAGAGAGATCTCTACAGGGGTGGATAGAGAGATCTCTACAGGGGTGGATAGAGAGATCTCTACAGGGGTGGATAGAGAGATCTCTACAGGGGTGGATAGAGAGATCTCTACAGGGGTGGATAGAGAGATCTCTACAGGGGTGGATAGAGAGATCTCTACAGGGGTGGATAGAGAGATCTCTACAGGGGTGGATAGAGAGATCTCTACAGGGGTGGATAGAGAGATCTCTACAGGGGTGGATAGAGAGATCTCTACAGGGATGGATAGAGAGATCTCTACAGGGATGGATAGAGAGATCTCTACAGGGATGGATAGAGAGATCTCTACAGGGGTGGATAGAGAGATCTCTACAGGGGTGGATAGAGAGATCTCTACAGGGGTGGATAGAGAGATCTCTACAGGGGTGGATAGAGAGATCTCTACAGGGGTGGATAGAGAGATCTCTACAGGGGTGGATAGAGAGATCTCTACAGGGGTGGATAGAGAGATCTCTACAGGGATGGATAGAGAGATCTCTACAGGGGTGGATAGAGAGATCTCTACAGGGGTGGATAGAGAGATCTCTACAGGGGTGGATAGAGAGATCTCTACAGGGGTGGATAGAGAGATCTCTACAGGGGTGGATAGAGAGATCTCTACAGGGGTGGATAGAGAGATCTCTACAGGGATGGATAGAGAGATCTCTACAGGGGTGGATAGAGAGATCTCTACAGGGATGGATAGAGAGATCTCTACAGGGGTGGATAGAGAGATCTCTACAGGGGTGGATAGAGAGATCTCTACAGGGGTGGATAGAGAGATCTCTACAGGGGTGGATAGAGAGATCTCTACAGGGGTGGATAGAGAGATCTCTACAGGGGTGGATAGAGAGATCTCTACAGGGGTGGATAGAGAGATCTCTACAGGGGTGGATAGAGAGATCTCTACAGGGGTGGATAGAGAGATCTCTACAGGGGTGGATAGAGAGATCTCTACAGGGGTGGATAGAGAGATCTCTACAGGGGCTCCAGTTTCCAAAACTGAATACAGTAGGTGGGGTGATATATGCACAATGACATGCATAATTATGGTTTCTAGTAGTACACTTGCGAAGTTTAGGGGATTCCCCGGTACCCCTGGGACCCCCAGATCCGACCCTGCTAAGGAAAGTAAGGTCTTTAAAGGGGAAGTTAAGGCAAAAATTAAAAGTTCACCAGTTGTAGTCTTCGGGGTGCTAAGTCGAATGGTCTTGGTCCGAGAAAGCTAAGACGCTCCCTTCCTACTTGAATCCCAATCGAACTCGCGCACTTCCACCGAAACTGGGTGACTGCGCCCTACTAGATGGGGATTTGTATGTAAAATGTCACTAAAAGCGCCATTTCGTTCTTATAAAAGCACGGATGACCGCGATTGGCCCATATGTTGTAGTCTTTTGGACGCTGAGTCGACTGGTTTTGGTCCGAAAAGGCTGCGATGCAGCGTTCCTCCTTTATTCCCAATCGAACATGGTTGAACAAGCGGTCACGTGCTCCTGGGTGCCCAAATCACCTGGTCACCACGCCAGCAGGCGACAACTTTCACACCAAGGTTCAACTCGAGTGACAGGACTGCACCCAAAAAAAGGTCAAACAGGCTAGTAAGTTGTACCCTGCAGGCACGGTGACCAGGTGACTGGTGTACGCAGGAGCACGTGACCGCTTGTTCAACCATGTTCGATTGGGAATAAAGAAGGAACGCTGCATCGCAGCCTTTTCGGACCAAAACCAGTCGACTCAGCGTCCAAAAGACTACAACATATGGCCCAATCGCGGTCATCCGTGCTTTTATAAGAACGAAATGGCGCTTTTAGTGAGATTTTGCATACAAACCCCCATCTAGTAGGGCGCAGTCACCCAGTTTCGGTGGAAGTGCGCGAGTTCGATTGGGATTCAAGTAGGAAGGGAGCGTCTCAGCTTCCTCGGACCACGACCATTGGACTCAGCACCCCGAAACCTACAACTGGTGAAATTTTATTTTTTGCCCCTTTAATGATATCGCAATCAAGCAAACTTTTGCAAGATCTCCGGGCTGTACTGGTCTGTGTAGTTTGCCGAATATGGCAGAGCTCAGTGGTATCTAGTGTGCCTCTCATTCTCCTATGAATATACATGTCATGCGCGCTCATTTCGTGCATGCACACTCTGCCTGGCAAACTGGCTCGTGATCTCCTCGTTGTCAACCGATGAATCCCGCCTCTTCCTTGCTCTCAGCGCGCGCGTGTGTGTGTGTGTGTGCGTGTGTGCCTGTGTCTGTGTGCATGTGTGCCTGTGTGTGTACGTGTGTGTGTGTGCCTGTGTCTGTGTGTGTGTGTGTGTGCATGTATGTGTGTGTGTGTGTGTATGTATGCACATGCACACACACACACACATGCACATGCATATGCGCATATGTGTGTGCACGTGCATGTGTGTATTGGACAAACACCTAAACTGCCGCCGATTACCGTTTTCCAACCCCGTGATACAGGATTGCGCAATGCCAAGGAAGTCTACCAGTTCAGTGCCATACATGATTTTCGCAAGACGGAGCAGCATGGCCGGCGACGCGCATCGGACACATATCCGCCACCGGGCATGACTTTCGGAAAACAAACACGGTGAGAGAGAGCGACAACACACAGTTGGTTCTAGAATTGGTTCATTCAATTTATATCTAATATTTATTTTTTTGGAAGTGAAGTGAACGTATGCAGCGAAGAGACCGTAGTTGGAGAGTTTGAAGTGAGGTACCCTGTAATGTGTGAGTGGCTGCAATGGAGTCTGCGAGTGCTTAGAAAAGGTTCTAGAATTAGTACTGACTATCGACTGCATTTGCATTGGATGGCATGAAAAAAACAAAATCAGAAAGTGAGTAGGGGGTGGCACATTTTCACAGTGGGGGGGGGGGCACAAACAGAGTGGGGAGGGGGGGAGGGGTGCTGCGCCCCTCCCCTCCCCCCCCCCCCCTCCCTCTTTGGCTAGAACCCTGGAAAGTATTGGCTTCATAAACACTGCCCAACTTAGGTACTTGTGCTTCTGCGGCGCCGTTCTGGCGCACATGCCCTGCTATTATGTGTGTTCTGTGCTGCTCACACTCTGCTCACTACACTGCATTCAGGGCCAGCACACCACTGTGGGATGTCCTTGGCAACCGTTACCAGAGAGACTGGATTCAAGATAGATATGATGCGAGTGAGGTTTCACCAGATATAGAAGTCAAGGTAAAGAGTTCATTGTATTACCATTTTCACATGATTTTGCTCGCTCACTCCCACACACTCTATCCCTGTCTCTCTAAGAGTTCATTGTATTACCATTTTTGCTCGCTTACTCCCAAACACACTCTATCTCGCTCTCTATCTCTGTTCCTATTCTCCTCTGTCTGTCTCTCTCTCTGTCTGTCTCTCTCCCTCCCTCCCTCCCTCTCTCTCTCTCTCTCTCTATCTCTGTTCCTATTCTCCTCTGTCTGTCTCTCTCTCTGTCTGTCTCTCTCTCTCCCCTCCCTCCCTCTCTCTCTCTCTCTCTCTCTCTCTCTCTCTCTCTCTCTCTCTCTCTCTCTCTCTCTCTCTCTCTCTCTCTCTCTCTCTCTCTCTCTCTCTCTCTCCCTCCCTCCCTCCCTCCCTCCCTCTCTCCCTCCCTCCCTCCCTCCCTCTCTCTCTCTCTCTCTCTCTCTCTCTCTCTCTCTCTCTCTCTCTCTCTCTCTCTCTCTCTCTCTCTCCCTCTCCCTCTCCCTCTCCCTCTCCCTCTCCCTCTCCCTCTCCCTCTCCCTCTCCCTCTCTCTCTCTCTCTCTCTCTCTCTCTCTCTCTCTCTCTCTCTCTCTCTCTCTCTCTCTCTCTCTCTCTCTCTCTCTCTCTCTCTCTCTCTCTCTCTCACACACACACACACACACACACACACACACACACACACACACACACACACACCCTGACTGTATACCTGTGTCTCTGTGTCTTTCAGCCAAGTTACGGACAGGTGTACGAGACGCACGCCAGCCTTGTCAGGCGACATGTTGAGCCCCCGGACCCGCGGCCGCCGTGGAAGATGGCCAAGTTTGAGCGGGTAGGCGTACTTGTAGTTTAACAGATTATAGTATTTGTCGCAGCATTGTCTCTCTGTCTCTCTCTGTCTGTCTCTCTCTCTCTCTCTCTCTCTCTCTCTCTCTTCTCTCTCTCTCTCTCTCTCTCTCTCTCTCTCTCTCTCTCTCTCTCTCTCTCTCTCTCTCTCTCTCTCTCTCTCTTTCTCTCTCTCTCTCTCTCTCTCTCTCTCTCTCTCTCTCTCTCTCTCTCTCTCTCTCTCTTCTCTCTCTCTCTCTCTCTCTCTCTCTCTCTCTCTCTCTCTCTCTCTCTCTCTCTCTCTCTCACATCTGTATTGCAATGCGCATGCTCTGTCAATAAAAATTAATGACTCCCTGTCCCGAACTGGACTCCTGTGTGGCTTGCAGGCCTAAACAGAGTAGTAGGCATGCAAATGCGAATCTCTGCTGTTTGTGCTCTATACGTACGTGATACGAATTTCTCTGGTCTGTGGCTTAAAGGCCGGTTCACAATACAACTTTTTGCGACGCGGCATGCAATCTGCGACAGTTGCGACCAGAAAATGCCTGTCGTGAGCTGTCGCGGACAGTCGCAAGGCACCTGTCGCAGAAGTTGAAGAAAGTTCAACTTCTGCGACATGCGATGCGCCAAGTACGCACAAGGAGTACAGTTTCTGCCCTGGGTGCACGTGTAGACATGTGGCTAGTGCATAGGGATGTCAAAAACACCAAAAAGAGTGTGAACCGTATGTTGCCGTCGCATGTCGCGTCGCAAAAAGTTGCATTGTGAATCGGCCCTAAGTCGAACATGTACTGTTTTGAAGTTGAACCGGGACAAATTTTAGCGTGAGGACAAAATCAGATGCATCCGGATGATTGAGGTTTCATACATCGAACAATCAGCGTGTGTGTGTGTGCGCGCGCACGTGCGTGTGTGTTGCGTTCCTGCAGGTACCGGCCCACTTAAAGACGTTTCGCAGCAGTCGTGCACGCGAGGATGCCGTCGCCGCTCATGACCTGGACAAAGTGGCCAGAACGGGCACCATTGGTCATGGTGTGTACGCCACTGCACAGTCGTAACAACGCGCTGACGTCACACGGCTAACTGCACACCACACCGGCAGGCTATTTGAGTACTAAAATTGCATGCAGAGGATCGTGCAGGCGGCGTAATGCATTGCGTACGGCTCAGTGAAGCTTAGAATCGAAGTCAGTTGGAACCGGGCGTCGCTTGTCTCAGTGAGGAGCCTGGCACCAATGTCAGAATAGGATTGGATAGGTGCAGATGCGCTATACGCAGTGCGCTGCTTTCGTGGATTCCCTGCCGGGGCTAGTGCACATAGCAATGCACTGCGTGTGCGTACGGAGCCGCACTTCTAAGAATCAGATGCTTAAAATGCCGTAGCTGAGCAAGCCTTGTATACGCAGAGCACCACTCTGCCGCCCGGGCGCTGTGTTTAGTTCCCATATCACCATGTGTCCAGTGCGCACAGCGAGAACAATGAAAGCAATCCATGTCTGATAAAATATAAGTAAAGAAATAATATATCTGCGACTTCTTTCGAGATACTGCCAACACACTGTGCCAAACCGATCAAATTTCTGCCTTCAAACTGACTTTTACTCCTGCATGGAAATGTCATGTTTAGTGTTGATTGCAATTCCGCAAGTCTGCTCTCGTCTGATTCATCTGATTGATTGTTTTATGCACTGCTATTTTGTGTACACCGTGAAAGAAACACACACACACACACAGACACACGCCTGTTCGATTGGTGAATTAAAATTAAAATACAATACCATACCATACCATACACGCACCAACACACACACGTACACACACACACACACACATGCGCACACACACACTGGCTTCTCGTTCATCCCGGAGGGTGGTGATGGGATGTGGCCACAAACAATTACTGTCAGTCAGTCTAGCAGTCAGTCTAGCAGTCAGTCTAGCAGTCAGTTTGAATGACCTAAACGCGCTGTGTAAATAATTAATTCACCAGTATGGCAGAAGTGAACACGATATAACACGATTTTGAAGTTGGGTACTCTTGGTGAAGAAAGCCCATGTGTGACCTCAGGGATCTCTACGCTGTTGTGCAGACTGGATGGAACTACTAAAACTGCTGCAAGTGCATGTCCAGTAGTAGTAGCAATGGGGAACGCATTATGCGGTAGCAAAAATTCAGCAAAATTTCAAATTTTGTGATTGTGTATGGTTGTGGAGAGAAATTCGGAGAGGGTGGCAGGCATAGGAGAACAGCCCTTGCTCCCAGACAGGGCGGCACACACAAGGACACACACACACACACAGGCTTCTCGTTCGAAATGAACCGACATTGTACAACAGGCGAGGAGAATATGTACGTGTACTAGTGAGAGCGAGTGCGTGTGTTGGCTGGCAATACACAAATCACAGCTGACTTTGAGGAAAAACAAAACTTTGACATGACCGCTAAAATAGAAACTATTATGAGGCTGCTGTGTACCGGCATATTTTAATAGTATTTGAAAGCCATTCACGAGCGAATGAGGAGGGGAGGGGAGGGGGGGGGGGGCAAAATAGCTAGCGCTGCTAGCTTGGATTATGGTATGTACACTAGGAGGGGGGGATGTGGCAGTGTTGCAACGTAGCGGAACGCAAACATCAAGCAGAACTCGCACGGATATCTGCAGAATTCATCTCGGCCGGCACTCGTGAAACTATGACACGCTGACATGTCTCCGACTTGGACGCTCGGGGGTGTGCTTGCACGCACAGCGTGGGTTTTTGTCTGTTCTTACTTCTTGCGTCTGCCGGCCGGTCGTCCCATGCCGGGCATACCACCAGGCATACCACCCTCCATCCCTGCCATGCTCATCATGGGGTCCATGCCACCGTGTTCCAGCTGTTTCATCATGTTCTGAATGCCCGCCATGCCACCTACAAACACACACACACACACACACACACACACACACACACACACACATATACACATACATACACACACATGCACACACATGCACACACACACACACACACACACATGCACACACACACACATGCACACACACACATGCACACACACACACACACACACACACACACACACACACACACACACACACACACACACGCACACACACACACATGCACACACACACGCACACACACACACGCACACACAACCAAAGACAGAACAGACAAGGTTGCCTCACGGGCATCCAGTGCCGGCCAGGGCAAAGAACACAGAAACACAAGAGTGTACTTCAACAGTTACTGCCTGATGAAGCCACCCCGGGGGTAGCAATTAGCAGATACAGTAAACCTGTCAAGGCGACCACTCGGATAAGGCGACCACCTGTCCTGGAAGACCTCTGCAGCCAGGACTAAGGCATGCTATTTCCAGTCAATTGACCCTAGATAAGGCGACCACCTGTCCTAGAAGACCACTGGAACCAGGACCAAGGGATGCTATTTCCAGTCAAATGACCCTGGATAAGGACACCACCTGTACATGGGGACCACATTTGTAAGGTCCCTTGAGCGGTCGTCTTAGACAGGTTTCAATGTACAGCATTAGAATTGAGTTGCAGCATCTTAGGCTGCATTCAATTGTGGAAACTGGGTACCGATCCACGCCGACCAGATCCGGGATCCAGATTCGTACAATTGAACATGTGCGAGTTTGGCGAATCCGGGGCCCACGGATTAGCACAATCGAACATGCCCTTAGACCATAACGATCGAATTTCATTGAACAGCCCTGTATTTAGCACTCATGTGACTTACCCATGCTCTGCAGTGCTTGTGGTCCCATCATCTTGGCCATCTGACTTTGCACTTGTCTCATCTGTGAAGGGTTGACGTTCTTGCTCATGTCACCACCTATACACAAACATACATGCACATGCACACACACGCGAACACACGACGAATGGCTTGGACGACAAAAGAGAGGACAGACCAAATGGTGATGAAGAGACAGAAAGGGAGAGAGAGTGATTGTGTGTGTGTGTGTGTGTGTGTGTGTGTGTGTGTGTGTGTGTGTGTGTGTGTGTGTGTGTGTGTGTGTGTGTGTGTGTGTGTGTGTGTGTGTGTGTGTGTGTGTGTGTGTGTGTGTGTGTGTGTGTGAGAGAGAGAGAGAGAGAGAGAGAGAGAGAGAGAGAGAGAGAGAGAGAGAGAGCTCAATTTAATCTTGGCTACCCACGTTTGAAGAGGCCCTTGATGCCACCCATCTTTTTCACCATCTGTGCTAGCTTCGTCGACTGCGTGAGAACAAGATGTACCTGAGGGGAACAAAGGACAGAACACAACGACAATCGACATGCGCACACGCACACACACACACACACACACACGTACACACACACACACACACACACACACACACACACACACACACACACACACACACAAAGGAGTACAGTTTGTCAGTTGCTACCCTGGGTGCACGTGCAGTGCACGCGGGTGGTGCATAGGGATGTCGCAAACACCAACAAGATTGTGAACCGCGTGCCGCGGTCGCAGCTCGTCGCAGGTGTAGCAAGTCGCATGTCGCGCTGTAAAAAGTTGTATTGTGAATCGGCCTTAGCCCTAACTCAAGCCATCGTGACTAACCTGAGCAACAGAGACGCCTGCACCCCGCGCTACACGCACCACACGACCGGGCTGCTTGGCAAACAGCTTAGCGCCTTGCGGATGATCCAACTCTGCCAGTGCAAACACACACACACGGAACACGCACACACAGAAAGTCACACATCACACATGCACGCGCACACACACGACACACACACACACACACATATACACACGCGTCCACGTACACACACCAAGGTGCGCAAGGTTCAAGGTCAAAGGGCTGGAAAAGGAGACAGAATCCTCGAAAAGTACTTTACATCCAGTGCGGAGAGAAAAGCATGTTAGATCCCAGGTATGCTATACCAGAGTCTTACAGTACAGTGCAAGTATGCACATGGAAAGAGACTCGCGAATAAAGCAGATGTGACATGTGAGGCTTGTGTGAATAAACCCTGGCAGTACCTTCATCACTCATGCTATCCATGATGGTCATCATTCTCTTGAAGTTGGCCATGGCTTCTTGCTCACCACCCTTGCCCATCAGGTCTTGCGACAAGCCAGGGAACATTCCCTGTACACGTGCACACGTACACACACACACACATACACACACACGTACACACACACACACACACACGTACACACACACACACACACAACATGAAAACCGTAAACTATTTAAAATTTAATCTTGAATGAGATCACATAGCAGAAAAGCAAAGCTCAGCCAAAACAGGGTGGGGCTGCCAGGATCCAAACGAATACATCCAAAACGAGAAGTGACTTACAATGCTCTGACTGAATGGTCAACCAGAACAGGATGAGGCCGCTGGACCCCAAACGAACACATCCGAAAGTGCCGAAACGAGAATAGACATACAATGCTCTGACTGAATAGTCATCCAGAACTGGAGGAGGCCCCTGGACCCCAAAGGAACACATCCGAAACGAGAAAAGGACTTACCATGATCTGACTGAACGGTCCCAGCTTCATGACGCCTTGGAACTGCTCGTACATGTCTCGTATCGTGAAGTGACCTGCCACGCAATACAAACAAGGTAGCGTGAGACACAGAAACCCAAGCTCTTACTTGTAAGAACTTGCCACATCTGAGGCAGTGCCCAAGCAAACAGAGCTTAAAAAAAGAGAGTAAATTATCGTGTCCGTTCCGGAAGGGAATTCACGACGGCCGTTAACACCCGGTAAACCCTAGCGGCAGATGCAGCGCCTAACGGTGGGGGCGAGGGGATAAGTCTCACAACCACTGGCACAAGTGTTGAGAAGCCCCATTGGAGAGGTTAGCTGATGGCAAACCCATTGCAGGTAGAGGCCGACTTACAGACAAACAAATTGACTCCCTCCAGCACTAGCCTACTATGGATGAGCCATCAGGCTTCACACACAGCCAATGTGACAGAGATGTTCACACGGGACAGTTTGGCCTCCTTCCATGGTCGGTCTACACTACAGATGATCGACCCAATCATGGGTTCTGTCCTTTGGGTGCCAACTCGTGGCGTGGGTTCCACGAAGAAAAGGCCAGGGAACCCCAGTACAAGTACGCAGCGCTAGCACGACACACAATGTTCTGCGCACTGCCAATATGTTCCATGAGGGTGCACTGACCATGTCTTATCTTGTCAATGAGCTCCTGGTTCTTGTCGAGCTTGAGCTCACCAATACGATCCACCAATCCTTCAATGTCACCCATACCTATGCAAACAATACAGAAAGAAGAGAGAGAGAGAGAGAGAGAGAGAGAGAGAGAGAGAGAGAGAGAGAGAGAGAGAGAGAGAGAGAGAGAGAGGGGGAGAGAAAGAGAGAGAGAGAGAGAGAGAGAGAGAGAGAGTGAGAGAGAGAGAGAGAGTGAGAGAGAGAGAGAGAGAGAGAGAGTGAGAGAGAGAGAGAGAGTGAGAGAGAGAGAGAGAGTGAGAGAGAGAGTGAAAGAGAGAGAGAGAGTGAGTGAGTGAGTGAGAGGGTGGGTGAGGGGTGGGTAGGCGAAGGCAAATCCAATCGCTTGCCCCATGCAGAAGAAAACATTCAATTCTTCATAAGTTAATAATCGGCATGGAGACCATCATTAAGGAGAGTGGGCGTGGTCTTCCTGTCTGCAACCTTCATAATATTCATAGTCCTTCATAAGTATGTGCAAGACAGAAGAGATTTTACTTCACCAGATACACATGCATTTCTGCCTTCTCATATGGTTATATGAGATGGCAGAAATGCCTGTACATCTGGTAAAGTAAAAACAAACGAACGAACAAACAAGCAGAGCGTAGGAGCATACAGGACACACTTCCAGCTATACGGAGAGTGCGGCCCAACGAAATCCAGTCATGTCACTCGAATACGCGCTGGGCGTTGCACCGCCCTAGACCTGTGAAACTTGAGTGACACGACTAGATTTCTGGATTTCATTGAGCAGGACTGCAGTACACTGAGAGAACACAGTACACTGAGAGTGCAGGGGGGGGGGGGCTCCAGAGGGCTCCAAACTCACCCAGCAGCTTGCTAATGAACGGTCTTGTCTTGAACTGCTGCAAATCGTCGATATGCTCACCAACACCAATAAACACAACAGGACTCTGAGTGGCCGCCACACTTGAAAAGAAAACAAAAAACACGCCAAGCAACAGAAAGGAATGTGGCTTGAATAGTAGGAGAAGCCACAACACCACGTCCACAGGAAACCAGTAGGGATTGGGATACCGTAATTCCGCGCATATAAGCCCACGGGCCTATATCCGGATATAAGCCCACCTCCGTTTATAAGCCCATGGGCTAATAAACAGACACAAATGCAACTCACGTGTCAAGTAGAATTTTTCACAATATGGATTCTTTCTACCATGGTACAGCAGGTCAGTGCAGTTTACCAGTAGAGTATGGTACATCCACTATGGCCACGGACTTGTACTTTTTCGGGAACCGTCAAAATTCGAATATTGGCCCATGGGCTAGAAAACGAACATGTTTTTCTGGATATTTTATCCCCAAACTGCATTATTTTACATATAAGCCCATGGGCTTATATGTGCGGAACTACGGTACACCTGATTTCGTTCAGAACATGTGTTTGGATGACATCACAATGATGTCACAAAGGCACTGTGCAAACATTTATTAAAATATGAGAAGCACATAGTAGTGTGGCAAGAAGGAACCACAGGTGTGTGATCCCCAGTAGCCTAATTGGCAGAGCACTGTCCCGGAAAGACAGGGGTGCTGGGCTCGAATACCGCTCGTGGATCCTTCCTTTGCAACAATAGTAGGGGTGAAACGAGTATCTATTTTGACCAATCGATCACTCATTCACAATATTCGATCGAGTATCCGATTATTTCGAGTATTTCGTCAATGTTCAAAAGCGCCAGATTTGTGAGTTCTCGACCAATTCGGAAGAAATTATCTGTAAACATAGAACAAAAGTCGCCAACGTCTTGTACAGAGTGTAAAGACTAATGATTTTCATCAGTACTTTCATATCGCATAGCTAACTAACGTTACTTGCCGTGGTGATCGCATGGTCAAAGTCATAAAATACTGACTCAAAGCATGCATAATGCATTCATACCAGTGGATGAGCGATACAACAAAAGTTTTTGAAAATAGAATGCCAATACTAAAAAAAACAAAAAAACAAAAAAACAAAAAAAAAACGGTCGAGTGCAAAATTTCGAATACTCGCTGGTTTGAAATTTGCGAACGATTACTCGAATATTCGAACTAATCGTTTCACCCCTAAACAATAGTATACCAAAAACGCATGACGTGAACATTCACCATGGTAACAAGAAACGGTTGACACTTACGCGCTCAGGGCACCACCACCCTTGGCGTGCCCATCCAGCTTAGTAATGATCACAGCACCGACGTCAACTTTCTCTTTGAACGCCGTTGCCTGTTAAACGCAAACACACACACACACACGCAACACACACACCCACACCCACAGACAGACACACACCCACACCCACACACACACACACACGTGAAAAAAGGAAATAAGTAGAGGGAATGCATCATCAACATAAAAAAACAATCCTAGCCAGCTGCTGAAAGAAAGAAAAACATCTCCTACTGAAGTAGAACACAAGAGGCAGAGACAGACGGACAGACAAGCTGACAGAGCGGGTGCACACACAGACAGGGCATGTGAGACGGAAACAGGGAGCTCGCTGACAAGCTCCCTTGAAGCAGCATCATACACACACACGCGCGCGCGCGCGCGCGCGCAGACTCACACATAGTTACACAAACCATGCTCACAAACCCACGCTCACACACACACACTTACAAACTCACGCTTACACACACACACACACACACACACACACACACACACACACACAAACAAACACACACACGCACATGCACACACGCCCACCTCGACAAGACTATGAGTTGAATATACACACGGTCAGGACATGGCACACAGACATAACTAGCTACACACATACCTGAGCTTCGCAAGCTTGACCGATAGAGGCATCCATCACGAAAACAATGTTGTCGGGTTGCTGCACAGGAAGAACAAGTACACCAAAACACACACACACACACACACACACACACACACACACACACACACACACACACACACACACACACATACGTATATGAGTCACATCTTTTTCCACAAACCTTCAGGACCAAAGACAAACGAGGACGGAGGAGAGGGGTGAGTCAATACGAAAGAGACCTGAAAACGGATGTGGTATTTACAATCAGGAAAACACGGTAAGTCAGAAATGATTCGAAATGCGGCAGGTGAGGGGATGGGGAGGGGGGAGAGAGAGAGAGAGAGAGAGAGAGAGAGAGAGAGAGAGAGAGAGAGAGAGAGAGAGAGAGAGAGAGAGAGCAGATAGATAGATACACACATACATACCAGAACTTGGGAGATTTGCAACATTTCCTCGAAGAGTGCTTCTTCTTGCCTATGCCGACCACTGGAGCGGGAAGCAAGAGACAAATACACTACAGTCAACTTCGCTTATAACGACACTCGGCGGGGCATCAAAAAGGTGTCCTTATTCGCGAAGTGTCGTTATACCCGAAGTCTAATTATATGTATTCCAGTGGGATGGGACTTTGCTCTGGGCATGGAAATTCTGTCGTTATTCGCGAATTGTCGTTATATCCGCAGTCGTTATTAGCGAAGTTGACTGTACATTACTTCCAGGTACAACAATAGTACAAGTACTAGATACTATTATACTAGAATTGGCACTATGCACACAAGCATAATGCATAACTCAATCCGCCTCACACTGTCACACACACACACACACACACACACACACACACGCACGCACGCACGCACGCATACACACGCACGCCCGCACCCACACACCCCCCCCCCCACACACACACATACACATGCATACACACGCACGCACGCACACACGCACACACACGCACATAGACACACACGCGCACGCAAACACACAAAACACAGAAGCACGACCATGTTCTGTCTTCTCGTCATCTCTTACCTGGTATCAACGATAATTATCTCGAATCCATCTTTCTTGAACTTCTCAACACCTTCCTGAGCTATCACCACCGGATCTGATTCGGTGTAACTAGAATATGAGGAAGAAAGAAACACCAATGAGAATGGGGACCATTAGCAAGGCGTGAAATGGCAACGCAAACAAGGACCTGGTTAGAGTCCCGTCCTGAGCACGCGAAGCACACTGGGTTTGTTTTACTAGGCCTTTCGTGAGGTGTGGTGGCTGATGAGGCCTTTCTTACCATTACTTTTCAAGTCGAATGCAGTGGTGATTAAAGCCGCAGCATGCAAGTCCTTATATTTGTATAACTTGAACGAAAGGCCTAGTCAAAACATTACGGCTTCTGTGCTTCGTGCGTTTGTTTGCTTCCCTCCGACCAACAATCTTTTCACTGTTTTGTATTATATTTATTTATATATCTTTTTTTAACTATGCACGCCCGGTAGAGAGACGTGCCTGTATCTGAGGCGTCCGGATAAGAGACGTTTGACTATACGTGTAATAGGTGAGTCCCACAGCACATGCACGAGTATTATAATTATACTAAGTAGAAAGACCCCAAGCACTTCGGAGCCCCTTTCACGCAGAGCATCAGAAACAGATCGTGCGCGTCAGTCAAGTGTCCAGACTCCAGACCCACCTGCCGTAGAACGGAATTCTTGCCTTGGTCGCGTTCTGCTTGATCTGATCAAAGGCACCTGTCACAGCACACAACACAGGGAGAGTGTCCTTCAGAGCATACAAATAGTAAAACCTGCAGGGCAACCACTCTGATCAAGCGACCACCTGTTTTATCTCACACGTACATGTAGCTGTTATGTCCAGGCTATTCGTACGTTATCCCATAGTACGGTGGGAAAACATGGATTCAGCCAATCAGCAGGCGTTATTTCCGGGGGATTTAGCGCGACATTCCCCTGCGTATTCCCCGTGTACGCACTTTGTACAGTTCAATGAACACCTTGCATGCCTGGTGCCTGGTGAAATGGCTTCATCCACCTCCATGACGCTCATGAAGGTAGGCAAAGCTGCACCGGTTTGGCCGACAGATTCGACTGGCTGGTCAAGCAGCCTGGCTGTTCAGATCGTTTGTGCCTCTATGGGGTTGCTGTAGGCTAGCATTGACTGTGAGTTCCGGTGTCCGGTTGTCCGCATTATGGTAGTGTCTGACACACCAGCTGCCTTCGTGTTGCTGGCTGTTGAACCCTTCTGTGCCTCTGTGGGGTTGCTGTGGGCTAGCAACGACTGTGAATTCCGGTGTCCGGTTGTCCGCATTATTGTTGTGTCGTCTGACACACCGGCTGCCTTCATGTTGGACACTGTTGTGGCTTGTACACAACGGTTGGTATATGTGCTGGTTAGACGGGCCCGATGGCTGATGTTGCGCATCCTTCTGTCGATTGAGTTCTTCCCCATGGGCCTGCCCGTGTACCATGTAGCGTCTTCCACCTTGTAACCAATAGAGGGCACCAGGCATGCAAGGTGTTCATTGAACTGTACAAAGTGCGTACACGGGGAATACACAGGGGAATGTCGTGCTAAATCCCCCGGAAATAACGGCTGCTGATTGGCTGAATCCAATATGGGCTATTTGGGCCCAATTTCTCTAAACTTTTCCAGGGAGAGGACCCCGGACCCTCCATCCATCCATGCATGGCCGCACCAATGTGGAATACCTTCCGACGCCCCTGAACCTCTATTCAGTGCTGCGACAGCAGAACTTCACATCGCATGGCAAAGTTCAAAAAGGCTACGCTGGCAAACAGTGCAAAGTGATCAGCAAAGAGTTGAACCCAAAGCAGGGTATCTATCATGCACATGGTGCAGAAAATGCGTACAGGTTTATCACGTGATGGGAACCTCCGCCGTCGCAGACCCCATAGCTGGAGTTGCACACTCTTGGGGGGGGGGGGGGGGCATGTACTCTTGGTATTATCAAGGAATACCAGACTCAGTACTTCACAGCTGAGGAGTGAGGTACTCTATTTATCCTAGGTCTAGTACATGTAATTGGGAAAGCACAGGACTGCTGAATGAAATCCAGTAGAGCCACACGCGCCGCGCGTTGCACAGCCCTAGATCTGCGAACACTGGGCTAAGAAATGGTGCAAGGTGCAGACTGGACTGACGTGATTGGATTTCATTGAGCAGAACTGTGTAGAGTGGTTTCCCATCTGTCACATGACCATACACAGGCCAGCCATGTTGGTTCCAACTCCACTCAACCCCTGCATCTCGTATGGGTCACATGATGTCGGCCATGTTGGTTCCATTGTCCACATGACGTGATCACTTCCTACACAACTTTAGTCACATGACCAAGATGTGAACACCACTGAGAGAGGGAGGGAGGGGGGAGGGAGGGGGGTAGGGACTGAGGGAGGGAGGGAGAGAGAGACAGAGAGACAGAGACAGACAGATAGAGCCAGACAGAGAGACAGAGCCAGACAGAGAGAGAGCCAGACAGAGAGAGAGAGAGAGAGAGAGAGAGAGAGAGAGAGAGCACGAACCTGCACGAAACGTATCTGCGCACACTATACACGACTTCCAGTTGTTACGATGTTGGTAGAAGTGAGCAAGCTGCAGAGAGGAAGAAACCGACACAGCAGAAGCACAATCCGTTACATTGAACAAGACAACACCACCACTCTGGCCCCACACAAATACCAGCTAATTTTACTTGCCAGCAACATGCCTCCCATCTGAAATCTCGAACTAAAAACGACACACCATCTTCCCGCTTTGCAGTTAAAGTCTAATAAACACACATACACACACCCAGCAGAAAGGGCGACACAAAACGTACAAACTAGAACGTACATGTAAAGTAAAATGAGATTTTCCATGCTCGCGTTACCCCCTGCTATACGACCGTGTTGAGAAACGCAACCAGCTCGGGAAGTTCCGTTTGTGCCTGTGGACATACCAACTGAGGTGTGCGTGACTACAGCTATGACCGCCACCCAAAGAGTACCCACCTTGCATACAGTAGTTGTCTTTCCGCTACCCTGGAGACCGACGAACATGATGACGTTTGGTTTTCCCTTGACAGGCTGCCATGGTTTTACGCCGGGATCGACCAGCTGTTCAGAGAAACAAGCACACACGTGCATGTGCACACACGCACGCACGCACACACACACACACACACACACACACACACACACACACACACACACACTCACACACGTAGGGTTACAGAAAAGCCGGAAAAGTCACACAAGCTACTCACATCCCCACGCAGCAGACCACAATGGTAGCAACTTCAGCAAACGGCGACAACACCCGCCAGCGCCTCGACCAGTAGACTCGCCGGAAATAATTTATCCTATGGAGTTTCGCATAAGAGTAGTGCTTGCAGCAACACACACCGATGTTTAAACCCGGCACGAAGCACTCTGGATATTTGTATAATACCGCCTGAACTACGAGTCTTTCTTGCAGACGAAAATCCAAACACGCTCAAGAAAAGAACGCGCTTCAAATTGCGCACAGTCAACACGTCCAAAAAAAACTTGTTCACAAATCCTTTCATTGAATTCTCCTCAGGTGGAATACAGGCAAAAGAAAAAAAACTGAGCAAGCACAATGCATATTATACAGCAGAGATGTGCTAGTAACAGTGCAAAGAGGAGTTGCCAGAAACAGCACGGTGAACTGCATAACCTCGCGCACATAGAAGGAAGGACAAAAAAGGTGCAAGTGTGAAGAAATCACACGACTGTGCAGTCTACTGTAGAACGGCTAATTTTAGCGGGTGAAATTATTAGCGTTTTCTAAATCAGGACCAATTTGCGATGAAACGAGAGAGCTTGGAAGCTCAGGGCCCTACGCTATGCTTTTATGCTTTTTTGCCTAGCTCATCGTACATGTTATAAGAACTGATGGAAATGTCTTTTTCCGTTGATTGACCACATAACTGTATTGCAAAAACGTTTCAATCGGTTTGAATATTATGAGTTAGGCAAAAGTATTTGCAGAATTTATTGCGGATTGTTATTTCTCTAATAATCATCTACATTTCGTTTGCTTCTTCTTTTCTTTTTATCTCCTTATACTGTAAATCAACAAATTTTGGCCGATGAGAAATAGAAACTTCTCTATTAGAGTGGTTAAGATGCACGTTATTTCCGATGTGACGCGCAATTTCACGTCAAATTGGAAATCGATCGGTATTTTTGCTCTCACATGCATCCATTGCTCAATCATGCATCATTTGCCTATATGACAAACTTTGGCCTGCGATTTACTTTGGTAGGTTGGTACCAAGCGGCGAAATCAGCGAAATTAAATCGCTAGCGAAAATTAGTTGATTTTAATACAGTATGACATGTGATGTCTGCGGCCTTCATCCTATTCATAGCTATATTAAAATTATTATCTCCACGTAGGTTATTTTTAATACAGTAATCGGATTTTCTGGCCTTTTTGTAGTAATACATGTACATTGACCTGTTCAGCCAATGACGACGCCGAATGCATGGTTGCCTGTGGAGCACATTACATAACTTTACAGTCTCCTAAAATACGTATCCTGTCCGACGGCAAAAGAGGCTGCAGATTTAGTTTTTCTGCGCGTCGACGGGATGTCTGCGACGCGAAAGTTCAGCTCGCGTTATTTGGCTCGCAAGTCGAAAAATCAACGCGAGTGACCTGCTGCTCACGTCGAAATTTGGACATTACATAACTTTACAGTCTCCTAAAATACGTATCCTGTCCGACGGCAAAAGAGGCTGCAGATTTAGTTTTTCTGCGCGTCGACGGGATGTCTGTCCTGACGTTTACTGGGACCGGCGCTGACTCTGCCGATCACGGGCGTTCTGGACTCGACGGGATGTCTGTCCTGACGTTTCCTGGGACAGGCTTAGACTCTGCTGATCACGGGCGTTCTTGACTCAACGGGATGTCTGTCCTGACGTTGCCTGGGACCGGCGGACTCTGCCGATCACGGGCGTTCTGGAGTCGACGGGATCTCTCTCCCGACGTTTTCTGTGACCGGCGCTGAATCGCTCGTTCACGCTTATTTTGGAGACGACGGGATCTCTCGTCCAAAGCATGTTTATGCTGACGCATCCTATCACCTATTCGGCGTCTATTCTAATTTAATTTCCTCCTCGTCTCCCTATTTCTTTCCAAATCTCCCTCTACATCAGGGAGTCGTATACATAATACGACGAATATTGGTACGGTACGGGACAGATACAGGAGCCCGCAAATATTGTGGACAGCTGTTATGTACAATCCTGTAGAGCCTTTGTAGTCACAGATACGGGACAGATACGGGACAGATACGGGATAGCTCCAGCCGTGACACAAACAAACAAACAAACAAACAAACACCAAATTAAAGCTGTGTAGACCCTGGCTAGCGCCAGACGTTACTGAAGTAACGTCTTCTGCATAGCTACGGGAATAAATACTTTAGCGGCCCGAGTTTCAGAGTAAAAAAAGAAAGAAGAGATGACCACATAGTACTGTAGTGTACATGCAATATTTCGATTGGCGCGGCAAAACTTTAGCGAAAACACTCCTTTCGCTAAAATGTCACAGGCGTTAAATTTAGGCGTTTTACAGTACTGCGACGACAATAGACAACCAAGGGAGGGAGGTTGTCAACAACTTGCTAGTTTCTGTGCCTTGGCCTATTGTTGTCGCGATACATCGCATGAGCAGGGGTGATTGGCGACACTGTGAGATGTGTGCCAAACGCAGAGGTGTCCTTTATCGAGAGCTGTCCACTACGGCATGCTCCGTCCAATGAAAAAATGCGCCAGAAACCAAGGAGCCATGATCATGGAGAGTTTATGCCTTATGCCATCTCTTGAGCCTTGCTCTAAGAGATCTACCATTACTTCATTATCACTTGAGCTCCGCAGCCCCTGCTTTTAGAGAGTTTGTGCATTACATCATCACTTGGCCATGCTTTTAGAGAGCTTGCGGATTACGTCGCCACTTGAGCCCCGCTCTTAGACACTGCTGTTAAACTCAACATGGACCTGGACATTTTCGGTTCCAGGTGCAAGGTCTCTGGTCAAAAACCCTCACATCACGTGCAGACACGATTAGTATTGATTACGCAACCTATCTCTATAGAAAGTTAGAAACATGCCGGTTGCTCTGAACATGCATGCGGCCAGACCAGGCGTGCTACAGTCCTGCTAAATAAAATCCAGTCGCACTAGTCAACTTTGCGCCCTGCACCATGTTGCAACCCAGTGCTCGCAGGTCTAGTGGTAGGGCTGCGCAACGTTCGGCGCGTACTCGAGTGACTCGACTGGATTTCATCGAGCAGTACTGTAGTTGCACGCAATGCACGACCACTCACCTTGCACAGCTCGTTGAAGACAGCAGACTGGATGATGCGACGCTTGTTCAGGCCGGCTGCCATCTCGTCGAAATCAATGGCCGCCCTGCACTCAGCGGAACACACAAACGCACACACACACACACGAGCGCACGCACGCACACACACAAATAAAAACACAATCATGCAAATGCAGACACACGCACATGCGCACATATGCGCACATCTGCACACTCACATGCACACATACACACACAACCACAAGCACGCAAAACAATATTGTAGTTCCAGGTACTGTGTACCGCAAAAGATGTAATTTTAGGCGTATTAAAATGCCGGTGTCAGGGACCTGCCAGGTTTCAGCTGTAATGTAGAATTCGGTGACAAGCAATTCCTTCACATACCCTGGTGTCGTTTAGGGGTAATCTAAATTCAGGTGCCTGGTTTCTCTGCCGAAATAACCGAAATAAAAGTTACACTGAAAATAACACGATACACAGTATAACACTTTAACACTTTTTTCATCCTGTTAAATATTGTTTGTTGTACACTAATATACTGGTATACAGAGAGAGAGAGAGAACGAGAGTAGCTCAAGCAGCATAAACCGACTTCTACACGCACCAGCCACGGACCTGGAAATGCTGGTAGAGGAAAGACGGAGATATCGTTCGGAGTAGAAAAAGAACGCATCTAACGAGACCAGTAAGTTGTAGAGAAACGGGTCATCAAAAAAGAAAGCCCCCTGTCGTAACAGAGGGGAATATTAGATAGCATTACATAAACAAACGGGAAGGAGACAATAACTTGATAACCGCAATCAATAAGACTAGCTGCATTGACATTTGTGTAGGTCGAATCAACTTGTCATATTGAGAGCAATACATACTTGACATTTTTGCGCAGGTCTCGTACGAGCCGCACGTTAACATCCGATTCAAGCAGAGCCGCGCATATCTCCTTTAGCATAGCATCAACGACCTGAGAACGCACAGATAGCAATGATGGAAGTTGTGTGCACATGCAGGTGCACATACACATACACACACACACACACACACACACACACGCATGCAAGTATGCCCACACGCACACACACACACGCCAACACACACACACACACGCACACACACACACCGCACACAACATTTAGCAACCACTGCATCACTATATACAGTGAGCACTAATAATCTCACCAGCCGAGCTCCAGGACCAGCACATGGAGCTGGTGACCTGAATGCCAGTACCCACCTAAAGTAGAACCTCTGTTATGCATGCACTTCGGGACCGAACAGTGCCCGTGTGTCTCAGAATCGTCCGCAACTCGGAAGTACTGTAAAACATGTTATTTTCGGTGTAACTTTAATTTCGGTGATTTCGGTAGAGAAAACAGGCACCTAAATTTAAATTACACCTAAAAAGGCAATACTTGAGTATGCACTGTATGTGAAGGGAAAGCTGGTCACATAATTCTACATTACACCTGAAACCTGGCAGGTCCCTGGCACCCAGATTTTAATGCACCTAAAATTACATGTTTTACAGTACACAACAGCCATAATGAAACGTCATTGAATAAGATTATTGGCTCTAATTTCCGTCCCCTGCCGAATTTCTACCCGTGAAGCGACTTCAGAGTACACGTCAAAATACTGTAATGAACCGACACATGCACTGCTGTACACGATACGGTGCCAGTGTAGGTATGCCTGTTGATGAAAACGTGCACTATCCAGCACGGCAAGTCTGATCTTTCGTGTAGTTCAACAGTGTACTGCACTCGGCAACCTAGATCTAATTCCCGACCTCTGCAGGAAAACCAGCTGGGCAACAGCAGTTTTACGGAACATGTAGTACTTGCGTGTGTGTGTGTGTGTGTGTGTGTGTGTGTTTGCACGCATGCGTGTGTTTACGGTGTGTGCAAGTGACGTGTGAGCGCGTGTGCGCCCGTGCGCATGTGTGTGTGTGTGTGTGTGTGTGTGCAAGCGCGCGCGCGCGCGCGTGTGTGTGTGTGTGTGTGTGTGTGTGTGTGTGTGTGTGTGTGTGTGTGTGTGTGTGTGTGTGTGTGTGTGTGAGAGAGAGAGAGAGAGAGAGAGAGAGAGAGAGAGAGAGAGAGAGAGAGAGAGAGAGAGAGAGAGAGAGAGAGAGAGACCAGTGCAAACCAGAATAACAAATGAATGATGGACCTAACAAGGGAACCACGCAGATCACCACATGCCATACTTGCTACGCGAGCATAATTCTGAATAAGGGTCATGCACCACAAGAGCATACAGCTTCAATATCCACCTACACAAACTATACATCACGAACTCATCCTTCACTACAAACAACGAAATGTTCACTGACTTTCATGTTTCTCTTAGCTCTTTTAACTTACCTCTTCGCTGATGACGGTGGCTTTGCTCAGCGAGTGCAAAGCCGTCGTAATCTTACGGCCAAGATCGGCGAGAACCATGATGAAGCTACTTGTGTCTCCAACAATGCAAATAAATTCTCAAATCTCTCAAGCAAAATAAATTCGAAGAGGGAAAGCGCCCGCACCACGCGAGGCTACCATGTCTTATGTTATGGAACGCAGCAGAACTCGACAAGCTACACCTTGACTAGATAGTGTGCTAGTTCTTGTAAGAAAGACCTGCTACTACTACTGTACTAGTAATCAGAAAAGTGTTACAAACGCCTGATCTGATGAAATATAAAAATAGGGTTGAGAACAAAATCAGGGGGTTTGTTGAGTCTGTTGTCACTTGAGTCGAGACTCGATCGATCGATCGAGTGGAGTGTCCGTGACATGATGCGTTTTCCACTGTGCCAGATAATTTTTTGCTTCACATGTGGACGCAACCGGTTTACCATGGTTTACCACGTCAAAAGCTAAACAGAGCTGAGAATGTGTGCTATTTCAGATTCACGCCATAGTATTTCACCCCAAATACTATAAATTTGCGCTTCCACCTTGCAATTCCTGCTAGAAAGTTGCGAATTCATCTGAGACTGCGAGTCAGCCACTTGCAGGTCGCGTCATCGCTAGCGCTGTGTCATGTCTGACGCCATTTTTGAATCGTGACCTCACAGTAGTCAACCGATACGGGGAAATCCCTGCGTAGAAGATCCTTGCCTTGCCTTGTCAGTGTGTGAGTACACTGTTAGTGTTACCAAGAGTAGATAAACAAGAGTGTGCAACTCCGGATCTCTCCTGCACAATCTGCAGATACCCCGCGCCCACGGCGGAATTTTTTGTTTACGTCACCTTTTTTCAGAGAAACGCGGCTTTGCCGCGCAGAGCAGTGTGAGAGCACGTGCTGGGCACCGACCTTGTAGTGTAAAGCCCAGCCAAGTGCACGAGGGAAAACTCTCCAAAAGGCTCGCAGCGCGTGCGTCGTCGAAAAGATTACGTCAACAAAAAATTCCGCCGTGGGCCAATCCATCCGGAGTTGCACACTCTTGTTTATCTACTCTTGGTGTTACCAAGAGTAGATAAACAAGAGTGTGCAACTCGCGGATGGGTTGGCCCACGGCGGAATTTTTTGTTGACGTAATCTTTTCGACGACGCACGCGCTGCGAGCCTTTTGGAGAGGGTTCCCTCGTGCACTTGGCCGGGCTTTATACTACAAGGTCGGTGCCCAGCACGTGCTCTCACACTGCTCTGCGGCAAAGTCCGCGTTTCTCTGAAAAAAAGGTGACGTCAACAAAAAATCCCGCCGTGGGCGGGGGTATCTGCAGATTGTGCAGGAGAGATCCGGAGTTGCACACTCTTGTTTATCTACTCTTGCTGTTACGTATTCGGATTCCCTTGAGTTGAAGGTCATGCGGGAATAATCCGAATATTCCACCCAAGTCCCAAGCCAGGTCATGCGGGAATATTCCGCCCAAGTCCCAAGGTCATGCGGGGATATATTCCACCCAAGTCGCAAGATCATGCGGGAATATTCCACCCAAGTCACAAGATCATGCGGGAATATGTCGTTTTTTTGGCTGTGGCAGGAAAACCACGTAGCAGCTAGCACGAGTCTGTGCTGTGCACATGTGTTCAGCGACGACTTGCAGTTGCAACAGATCGCGTTTGAAAACTAGGAAGTGCACCGTACCCTCGCAAGCTAGCTTGGCGTGGGACTTTCGAATCTCATCACTTGGCAGGCATGGATTTCGGATCTCCTCCAAGTACAAACTATGTTCGAAAACAAGCCTGGCTCTTTCTCACCCAACAATCAGGCATTGGTCGTACATGTAGTTGGAGCACATCAAAGGTCGCCGAAGCGAAGGCTGATAGTCTGCATTTCAGGCAAGAATCCTGGGAGCACCGCGGCTATATTTGGATTGGGATGGTTTCGCCGGAGGAAAAGCCGTTGAGATTACAGCCTGTAGAGGAGCGGTTTGGGAAGACGACTTCGACAGGTAAAAGCACTGAAGTATGACTGCATTCTGACTGAAAATTTAGTCTACCGAATGATTCTCTGCATGCACCTCTGTAGTAGACTGTACTGTACTCTGATGTGCTGCGGGTTCGGAACGACAGAACACAGTCGTTTGCACCCCGTGAACTTCAGTGCAAAGTGCAAAGACCTTTGTACGCTTGGCTTCGCACAAATCCATGTATGGATGTTGTATCATTTGTATGACAAGGCTTTTGTCCAATCAAGAGTCAAACAAGTAAGTTAGTTTCTTGGTACTGTACAACACGGTGCAGTTCATGGCAAGGACATGGAGCTACACGAACTACACACGTCTACAGTCTGTATACGAAGAAAATGAACCATGCATTGTACATGCCTGGCTAGTAGTAGGTGTTGATTAGATCAGGGGGCATGGCAGTGGGGCACAGTCATCTAGAAAAGCGATCCTGTCATTTTCCAATGTTGTGCCAAGAGTACATAACCCCAAGGGTCTTCACCTTGGATACGGGGTCTGGCACGGCGCACTGCCTGCATTACGCAGCCACGGACTGGGGGCCATTGCGTCATTGTCGATTTGCTGGGGTTTCCTGCTTCGCAATCCGCTTTCCTCGGAGATTTCGGGTGGTTTTGTACGTGATGCGTCACGCACAGGAATTGCCTTTGAACTTACCGTACTGCAGGTGAAATCGTTGAGGCTGAACAGAAGGAAAACTCAAATCCGGGCAGCTGGATCAACGTTTCACTACGTATTGCCGGCAGCCACACTTTCCCTGCAGTTTGAAACCAACGTCAATACAGAATTCAAGTTCATGTATCCGAAACCGGGTCGGAGATCGGGCAGGCATTCAAACGAACCAAGCACAAACTGACGGATTAGCTTATGTGAGAGACTGTGGGTTTTAGTGCATAGATACCAAGTATGTGCCATTGATGCAGGAGAGCACGGATTGTACAGTCAAACCTGTCCAAGATGACGACCTTCAAAACCTGGTCTCTGTTACCAGGTGGTCTCCTTATCCAGGGTCATTTGACTGGAAATAGCATTCCTTGGTGCTGATTTCTGTGGTCTTCTAGAACAGGTGGCCGCCTTATCCGAGTGGTCGCCTTGACAGGTTTTACTGTAGGTACATGCATGGTGTCGTGAAGGAAACACGCTCCACAATAGGCGCATAGAAAAGAGATCAGGGCAGCATACATGTAGAATTTACTAGGGGTGTCATCTGGTACAGTCGTCGCCAAAAAATCCGGCCAATGCTGTGCTAGCTACCGGTAGCTGTATGTGTGCCACTTCTAGTGCTGGTACTCTACCATGGTCTACCATGGTCTACTACAGCAGCCTAGTGCACGGCACATGGTCTGCACTCTGCACATTCTGTGCTGTGCTCGACTCTGCAGGGCAGAGTGCAGCGCGGACTGTTTTCACCGCTGTGCTCACGCATGGTGCTGGTACAGTCAGACCTCGCTTATCCGGTCCTCTTTTATCCGGATCCCTCGCCATCCGGAAGAAAATCGTTGGTTACCGATTTGCAGCATATGCCTTGCATACATACAGTATGTGCGTTCGATTATCCGGCTCCCTCGCCCATCCGGATATTTTTGTGGAAAACGGATGTGTGCGGTTATGCGAGGTCTGACTGTACTGTGGACCAGTGTGCACCCTCTACTGACGCATGCATGCTACAGGCACCATGCCACTGTACATCTGGTACATGTATCCATGCCATGGCATTGGCCGGATTTTTTGGCAACGACTGTAGTAGGGTACCCGTGCTACCCGCAATTAGATCGGGTACCCGGGTAGCAATTTGCTCCAGAGAACCCGATCGGGTGGTTGGAGTACAGTGTTTTTGCAACGGTTGTTGTAAAATGATGTGTTGTTTTCCTGTGTGATGGCATTCCCCAAACTGTCTCGTCTAGTCGCGTGCATGTGTGATATGAGCATGCACGATTTTGTAGTCGAGCGGCCTTTCGTCAGTCTTCTTGTTCGTCCCTTTGAGTGTAGTCTCCATTTCCGTCTTGTCGATAATAATGTAAAACAAACCAGTCTTGTCCTTTGTGTCCCGCGTCCCGGGGAACGGAATGGCTGTGATTCCATAACACGGTGCATGTAACCAGCACCACTACCTGCTTACTATAGATATTCTACTGTCGTGGACATGGAAATCCGGTCGTACGTCTAGCGGCCCCAGGGCGCTGGCCATGCAGCCGTGGGTAAGTGGTGCACGCATGCTGCAGCGGGCTGCAAGCACCGGTCGCATCGGATCAAGCCCTGTTCTGTACGCGCCGAGTGCGCCGGCCCCGGTCAATGGACTGGATTTCCATGTCCACGGCACTCACAGTATGTAGCGCAAGTGCACACTCACGGTACAAACTATGTCAGAAAATACCCGATATGGTACCCGTGCTACCAAGATAAAAAAAATACCCGAACCCGTAATACCCTGCTAAACCCGCCCTACACATTGCAGCCGTAGAACCTACCCTTGTCTGAACTCAGTCCCCCGTCCGGTGATGATACATGCAGCATGCACCGAAGTATCATAGACTTTGCAATACATTTGTACCTCGGTTATCCGGGCCACGACGTTACGGGCACTTCGTCCTACCGGGCCCCTTTGGCGAGTTTCAGTAGAAACAGTGACGTCCCATGCCACATTTATGGCCTTTCCCCATCAAAATGTATGTGATTCGGAGTTCCTGATATTTCAAAGTTAGGGGCAGTGCCCGGTCCCGGACCGCCTGGATAAGCGAAATATGACTGGAAACTGTGTGTGTAAAGGCACTCCACTTTTTCCCTCAACTAGTGTGTGTGTTCAGGAAGGGGGGGGGGGGGTCCTGACCGCACATTCTCTCTCTCTCTCTCTCTCTCTCTCTCTCTCTCTCTCTCTCTCTCTCTCTCTCTCTCTCTCTCTCTCTCTCTCTCTCTCTGTCTACCTCTCTCTGTCTACCTCTCTCTGTCTCTCTCTGTCTCTCTCTGTCTCTCTCTCTCTCTCTCTCTCTCTCTCTCTCTCTCTCTCTCTCTCTCTCTCTCTCTCTCTCTCTCTCGGTCTGTCTCTCTCTCTCTCTCTCTCTCTCTCTCTCTCTCTCTCTCTCTCTCTCTCTCTCTCTCTCTCTCTCTCTCTCTCTCTCTCTCTCTCTCTCTCTCTCTCTGTCTCTCTCTCTCTCGGTCTGTCTCTCTCTCTCTCTCCCTCTCTCTCTCACTCTCTCTCTCTATCGCACGCGCCTGCTCACTCCATGTCTTTGTCTTTGCTCTGGCCTTCTCATTCTCGGTATCCACAGGCACAGCACAGATAGAGC